TTAGAAGTGTCAGTGTATAATTTATACAACTGGTTATATAAGTGATGTCTTGGGAACAATGACATACACAGCTGAAGGCAGGGATCAGGTGCGCAGCTATAGGAAAAACAGAGCTAGCTCTTGAAGAAGTGGGAAGAGAGCAAAGCGTAAGTTGTTTCAAGGCACTTTGTAGATTTGATATGAAGTAGCAATTGCTTACTGTTGTTTGTTTTACACACAAAAACACCACAACTCTCCAAAATCCCCTCAGCCAAAGGAAGTCATTAATTCTGCCCATCTTTGTATTTGCTGTGTAATCCTGAGTCTTGGGATGTCTCCCTCCTCAGAAATAGTATGAGGGCATGTATGCTTGTGGATGACAGAAAATTTGTTGAAATATTTGAATATGAGCTGGAAATTCTCCAGTTTGGATACCATCTCAGCAGCAAATTCATTATTTGGCCTTGAGTGAGTCTTTTTCTCTGAGCCTTAATTCCTGTCTCCTCCTACGGTTGAAATATGGGGATAATAATATGAGCTTGCTTATCTGATTGTTGGAAGAATTACTGAGGTAACCAATAAATAATTTGAAAATTCTTTGGTAGCTATATAGAAAAGTATTTTTCACCCAATCTCTTTTCATATTAATGGCTCCCAGCAAATTAAGTATTGCCTGCCCTTGTCATTTTAATAAGAATGAATGAGTATGCTTAATACAATATGTGTTGCTTTTGCATAAATATGTTATATGTGGAATGTGATGGTTCTTTCTATCAGCTGCTGATGTATTCTAGTCTTCAGAGTGCCTTGTTCATACTGTTTATTGCTCATAAAGAGATTCTCTGAGATTCTTTACTCACATCTGTTTATTGAGACTAATTTCTGCTCATCTTTTGAAGTGCAGAAGTAAGTTGAAAGTCCTTCTCCTTTTTATGTTACAGTTGGGAAGAGTTGCGTTATCCCCTGTATATTTTGTGTTCAGCTTGATCATGAAGCTCTTCTCCAAGCCTCAGCCTGCCATTACTCTGGAGAATCCAGATGTGAAATATGCATTAAGGCTGATCGACAAAGAGGTAAGAAATAATCACATTAGTGCCAGTCCTTCTGTGCATGCACACCGGGACAGAAAATTGCTTAATTTTAAGGGGTGTAATAATGTTAGCATAGGTAAGTATAAGACTGTGTATACTATAAGAAATAGATCATATTTCTCCACTAGAAATATATTTCTCCACTTTTTGTGGAGTATATTTCTGGTGCACAGAATAAAAAGTACCCAAATCACTTTTGCCTTATGAAGTGATAGGACTGTGATGATGTGTCATGTGTATATGTGTGTGTAGCGCCAGTCCTTCTGTGCGTGCATCCTGGGACAGAAAATTGCTCAATTTTAAGGGGTGTAATAATGTTAGCATATGTAAGTTTTTGTCCCATCTTGTCTATAGTTTTTCTCCTATTTAAAATTGTTTTAATATATTGTATTGTGCTTGCTGTAAGCCGCCTAGAGTGGACTCAATGAGACTAGATAGGCAGGATATAAATACAATAAATAAATAAAATAAATAAGTATAAGACTGTGTATACTATAAGAAATACAGTATATCATATTTCTCCACTAGAAATATATTTCTCCACTTTTTGTGGAGTATATTTCTGGTGCACAGAATAAAAAGTACCCAAATCACTTTTGCCTTATGAAGTGATAGGACTGTGATGATGTGTCATGTGTATATGTGTGTGTTTTAAATGTATATATCATTTTACCTAAGCCCTTGTTTTGGATTGTCAGATATCTTGGCAATTCTGTGATGGGTGCTGATCACACATTTTGGAATGAAAGGAGTAGATAGCCTTGTTTAGCCACTGTATGTACAAGCATGTTTGTTTCCTAAATAAACAGTCCTTGCTGAAAATTTATTAATATTCCAGTTATAAATATTTTGGGCTGGAAAAATGTAAGTTTGGGTGGAGATCATCTAGAGCAGTGGTTCTTAACCTTTGTTACTCGGATGCTTTCGAACTGCAACTCCCAGAAACCCCAGGCAGGACAGCTGGTGGTGAAGGCTTCTGGGAGTTGCAGTCCAAAACTCCTGAGTAACCCAAGGTTAAGAACCAGTGATCTAGAGGACTGACTTGACTGTTGTTGTCTTTTCAGGTCATCAGTCATGATACCAGAAGATTTCGGTTTGCTCTGCCAACGCCAGAACACATTCTAGGCCTTCCCATTGGTATGTTGTTTATATATCAAAAATGATAACTTCTTACGTTTATCTAAGTGGCAGAGAGAAGGCAGCAAAGGAAAATTAGATCTAGATCATTTGGTGGACTTGAAGAGCTAGGCTGGAAGGATTCCTTAGCAGCTGCTTCAGCTTTTCCTTTGCATTTCCAAACCTGTGACTGCTTTGCTCCATTGCTGAAAGGAGTGAGGTTCAGAGAAATGAGTTTCCTAGGGTTGGGATTTTCAGATTTTTTTTTAAAACTACAGATACCACAATTTCCCATTTTGGGAGCTCTATCTACCTTACAGACAACTTGCCAATACCTGAATGTGATACACCTGAAAGGAAGGCCTAAATTAGGCCAAGCTCTAGCTGTGTCCTGCCCTACAGCTACCTGGGAGATTTCTTTTTGAGAAGGACATTTTGGTGGAGCTTGACTTAGCTAAACCTCAAAGCCTTCTAATTTTGGCCTTTCTCACAGGTGCATCATATTTAGATATTTGCAAAAGGCCAGTAGGGTAGGTAGACCTCCTAGAATGGAAAATTTTAATATTTGTAGTTTAGAAAATGCAAACATCCCATCCCTAGACCTTCTCCCTGGCTCTGCTCTCTTTAGTTGTTGTTTTCAAATCATCTGTTCTATAAGATACTAGTGGAAAGTAACTTGTTGATTTGTTTGAAAAATTGCCAAAAGTGGCAGGTAGTGTTGTTCTAGTCATATTTCTTTTAGTGTTTTATAGGATTTGTAGAACATGCTTTCATGCATCCATGGCATGTTTCATGTTCTTTTCCCACATGCGAAACCTGACCTTTTATATAGCTAGCTAAACAAAAGGAGTTCCTCTCTTTTGAAATGTGATTAATATTTATGCTGGCCTAAGTGCGGCACAACTTGTTACCTGGTAGTAGTTCATTGTTACTATTTACACATTACAGTGGTGCCTCGCTTAGCGATGTTAATCCGTGCAGAAAAAATCGCTGCTAAGCGATAACATCGCTAAGAGAAAATAAAAAGCCCATAGAAACGCATTAAACCGTGATGAATGTGTTCCTGTGGGCTAAAAACTCACCTTTAAGCGAAGATCCTCCATAGGGGCGGCCATTTTCTGTGCCTCTTAAGCGAGGAAACACAGTGGGCGGCTATTTTGAAACCGCCGATCAGCTGGCCGAAAATGAAGGCTTTGCGATGATCGCTTCCCTGCGATCATCGCAAAGCGAAATTTCCCCATAGGGACCATCTCAAAGCGATCACTTTTGTGATGGCAAAAAGTCCGTTGCAAAGCGATTTCATTGCTATACGGAGCGATCGCTATGCGAGGCACCACTGTACATGTAATTCCCATGTAAATAGCTAGTAGGATTCTGGATGCTGCTTTTAGGGGACAGTCTACCCAAACTCACAGTGTAGCAAAATACTCTTTTGTCTCTTGACTTCTGCCCACCTCCCATTTGGATTTAAAAAATAGCAGTGTGGGGAACAGAAGAAGAGTAGCACAGCCTTCACAGCCTGCTCTATGGAGCCTTTTGGCAGGAGACTGGTCAGAGGGCACTTGTAAGCCCTAACCCCCTCCCCAGTTGCAGCACAGTTTGTTTTCTTGTTTTGGTAGCTGAGTGGTAACTTAATCCACAATTAAAGGCAGCTGCTACTTTGGTCTTCTGGAGACAGCCAGAGCAGGCGTTGCTCTGGCCCTCTTTGTTCAAATTCTGTAAAGGAATGGACAGCGGCAAGAGCAGCTGAAGCCACTGAAAACCAAAGGTGGCATGTTGTTGTTGTTGTTGTTTTTAAAAAAGGTTATACTGTGGATATATGAAAGGTTACTGATGCAACAGATGCCAGGGACCCCTCCTGAAAGAGCCGTCCCTCTAGGAGGTAAGAGGGATGGCTTGTAGACAAAGGGTCTTTTTGGCAGCTGCCCCCAGACTATGGAAAATAATAATAATGCAATAATAATAATAATGAAATAATAATAATAATAATTAAAGAAAGAACAACTAATTAGGTATCTACAGTAACTACCCCCCACCTGCATCCCAGATCTGACTTTCTCCCCCGTGTGACCTTGTCCTTGATGTTATCAGAGGCAGCGCTGATTTACAGTCGTTTAAGGGGTAGAGCTCCCAAATCACCGTTCTTAATTCAGGGTTCCCAGTATTGTACACAAACCGTATCAGAGTCGTGGAGAGCCAGATTGGAAAAGGCACAGTCTCCACCATTCTCGGCCCTAGTATATCGGTTGGGGTGATGTCCTTGTAGCCTGGGGGACGACGAGTGGGGAAAACGGGGAAGAGAAGGGCTGGGGAAAGGAACACCAACATGACGTTGGTGCGCTGACCCTCCGGGCTTGCGGTCTCACGGCACCCGCCAACTCCTGCCACGGGACTGTTCCTTCCCGATCCCCGCTGACACCAGTCCCCGATTCTCCGCCCGGTCGTTAGAAGTCCCACAAGCCTCTAATCATTGACCGCCAGGTCCCCACCAAGGAAACGCCAACAGAACCCCTCGGCCAGCGGGAACCTCCGCGTCTCCGAGATCAAGCCCCGATTGTGCAGGTTGCTGGTGAACCTGGGGTCCCGAGCTCCAGCTCCACACAGCTCCGTCCTCTCCGCCACTTCTACTCCAAGCCCGGGACAAGGGCTTTTTGAGTTCCCCCTGCGCCTCCACAGTCGGGTTCACTTTCCAAGGAAGGGGGCATCCGGCGCCGGTCCGCGGGTTCTCTCCCCTCCGATAGTCACCTCCGCTCCCTTCCGACGGTCACCCCCTCCTCCGATGGCAAACAGAAAGCTCTCGAGTCTTCGAGTTCGGCCGGGAAGCCGGAGGAGCCCACTCCTGAACTCTTGCTCCCACTCCGGCCCCCGCTTGCGAACTCCGCTCCAGCCACGCAGCCCCGGCTTCGCTCCGGCGACCAGGTATCAACGGGAGGAGGGAAGGCAAAATGGGGGAATTTAAAGAGAAGAAAGAAGGAAAAAGGGAGAGGGAAAGGGAAAAAAGAAAAATAAATAGAGAGGGGGGGGAAATAGTAAAGACAAGAGGCAAACCGAAGCGGCGGAGAGAAACACGCTAGTCGCCTGCCGTCGGCGCCATCTTGTCCCTAGAGTTGGACACGACCTTATCTGATTGTTGAAGAATTACTGAGGTAACCAATAACTAATTTGAAAATTCTTTGGTAGCTATATAGAAAAGTATTTTTCACCCAATCTCTTTTCATATTAATGGCTCCCAGCAAATTAAGTATTGTCTGCCCTTGTCACTTTAATAAGAATAAATATGTGTTGCTTTTGCATAAATATGTTATACAGTGGTGCCTCGCACAACGTTCGCTCCGTAGAGCGACGAAATTGCACAATGGTGCCATTTTTGCGATCGCAAATGCGATCGCAAAATGGCACCGGAATAGGGCACAATTCACAGAGCGAAGGTGATCGGCGGGTCCAAAATGGCCGCCGCGCGACCCCAAAATGGCCACGCGCAGCGTTTTCGCGCCCTTGGTAAGCGAGGGGAGGGCGCGAAAACGCTGCCGGAACAGCCGAA